CAAACTGACTTCAGTTGAGAGAGGTCCCGGCGGAATCACTGGGGATTTTACGCCGTATGTAAATACAAACGATGTACAAAAGCCACGGCAGTCGGCAATTGTGCCTTATTGAACAAACAATTCACACGAACAACACGAATATGATCCCGAACTTCATTCTATTCCAACTACATGCACACACCACACACCACGCACACGAAGGCCTGATGAGTTCCGCTGATGGATTGCTCATGAGTATCGCTGTAGCGCTCAGTGAACCAGGCAAGAGCTTCGAGGTGCGTAGTCCAGCGGCGTGTTTGCACAGCGATCCGAGCCTTTGCGAACAGGAAGTTAGAATTGATGATTATATCAAAGCCTATCTGGCCACTTCTGGACCTCCTCTACCAGTCCCTCAAGTACCTACAGATGAATTTGAAAGAACAGCCTTGAATCTACCACCCCTATTCAAGCCTTTACCTGTACGCCCATCGTCTCTCGCAGTCGCATTGCCATTGGAGTCATCAAGTTTGAGCGTGAAACCCAAAATCACCAACGCAGCCCAGCTACCGCTGGGGCAAGAGTTTCGGCTTCTTTCCACTGATGGAGAGAAATATCACTGTATAACATGTATGTCTGAATACGCGAATTTCAGCCAGGAGGTGTGTGCTCTCTCATTTGCACGTTCAATCACTCAGCTCAGCGTTTTGATAGGAAATGAGATACCATGCGTATCTCGCGGGGAATATCAAACCTCCATTGCAAGTCCAGATGCATCCGTTCGTACCGTTCGTCAAGGATGTAGTGGCGCCGGTTGTACCAAACAGCGGAGAGGAGCAGCTGCTGAGCATATCGACGCAACCGCAGTACGAAAAACATAGTCATGAGGTGTGTTTCGCAAATCTGTACCGATGTCCGAGATAATCAACGCTGAAACAGGAATTACGAGTTGCATTTCTTCTTCATGGACGAGAACTAACCTCTGTTGAACTTTTTCAGCTACAAAATCCCTCCGCCACTCCGGCTCTCGCTCCGCCAACTGTGATAGCCACGCCAGCCCCCTCAATACCTCCGCCTATTTTTGCGTCCACTACCACATCTACGGCTCCTCCTAGGTTCACTTTTGGTCTACGATGAGCAGAATGGGGAATGTATGTACATAAATCTTGTTCTCTAATCATTGTAGCATTAGTGGTTTCACTCCTCGTGAGACATAATCCGTTTTTCTTGCTTTGAAAGCTGGGCACTTCCAGGACTGTAAATGTGGGCGCGATCCGCCACTACTACTCCGTCAGATGGCTTTGTGTCAGAACTTCACAGGATTGACAAAGGTGACCATCTTACAAATAGATTAACGGGCATAAGGGTGCCCGCAAACTACTTATAGGTGGCGCTAGCGCTCACGAATGTCCTTAGGTACGAGATCCCATCGCAATAAGACCAATCTAGTTAAACATATCGAGCTGACAAAATACAAGTGGTTCATCTGTCTGGGTATCTCAGTACTATAGATTCCCCACAATGCTTTCCGAACAAATGTTCCGACCGCTTTATCGTGCAAGTCGGATTCAGCCCTTTACGATATCTTGTTCATGGAAACCTCACACATTACCTGCAACTCTGGTTTAAATCCGAAGACATCAAAATGAGTCATGGTTGCATGCGCTCAAACTACCATTACATCTTTCAGCTGAGTTTTGGGAATAGCTTCTGGGTAGGCCATGCGCTTGAGTCGAGTTTGAGTCTTTTGTTCATATGCATAGGCGTAGCTTATAAGCTTGAATTCCGAGTATGCTGTGCCTATGAAGATAAGACCGTGTGGGAGGCCAGGAGCTTTGTGTTTGATAACCGGCTCAGCTGGCGGAACTTCCATAGACTCGGGATGGAATCCGAGAGGAACTTTTGCAGGAAGAGATCATTCAACACGCATTCCACGGTAACAGTTATACACAGAAACATACCACACACGACGGGGTAGCCAGCAATGGCAGCCGGACCAGATCTTCCGGCCCTCCCAGCTGCGGGTAGGACAAAGACGTCCAAGTCGAACTTCTTTAATGTAGCGTCAATCCCCTCTTCACGACCCATGCGGTGATTTTCGGCTAGCGCTTTGAAGTATGCATCGTCCATTGGTGTGGCCTCCGCTTCTATCATTCTGAAGGGAGGATAGAAGTCAGTCTGATTCGCCATGGATGTCACTTACATACCGCTGTTGAGAGGTCCAGTACGGCTCTACAAGTTCCTTGTCCGCATTTGCCTTGTTGAAAGCAATGACGTCCGCGAGCGTTCGAACACCACTAGGAACCTCTATAAGTCCTTCCAAGTACTTTTGAAGGTCAACCTAGGTGTCGGATGAGACGATCGGTGAAGTACATTGATCAAGGCAGACTCTTGCCTTCAAGTCGGCCGCGAGGACGATGTCTTCACCACCATTCACGAAAAGCTCTTCCGCGTTCGGAAAGTTGGCAGGATCGACAATTTCCGCACCTAATTCCTTCATTGTTTCAAGGGCAGCATTGAAGTCAGTGATAATATCCTCGTCGCTGCCTTGGAATAATCTGGGAACACCGACTCGAACACCCTTCAGAGCATTTGCATCCAAAGCCTTCGTATAATCTGGGATTTCCTTTGGTTGGAAGAGAGTGAATTCGTCGAGTGGATCAGGCCCAACGATGTAGTTCAAAACGAGTGCAGCATCTGCGATGCTTCTACACATGGGTCCAACGCTGTCCTGGTGGCTTGAAATTGGAACAACTTCACGACGCATGAGTAGGCAGATCTTGTGTTAAGGAATACAAGTCACCTCCAGCTCTAGAAGTCAGTCCTACTGTTGGTTTGATCCCTACAATATTATTGTGACTGCTCGGAGATACGATGCTCCCATCAGTCTCGCTACCAAGCGATCCTGGTATGATATGTTCAGCACGAAACCAACATCATCGATTGCCTTGTCGGGAGTTACCTGCCGCAAGCCCTATTGCTGTTCCAATCCCGCTGCCTGTGCTGGATCCAGATGCATCAGCTTTCGGATAGTATGGGTTTGTTGCTTGGCCCCCGAGGCCAGAGAAACCACTTGGGACGCCGACTCCGCGATAATTTGCCCACTCTGATAGTTGGGCTTTACCTATGAAGATCTTGGATTAATTGTGGTATAGTTTAAGCTACAACATCTCCTATCGAGGGTGTCGACAATGCTTACTGCGCCGGCTTTTCTGAGTTTGGCAATGACCGTGGCATCTCTCGGAACCACAGAATTCAGGAGAGCGTAACTGCCTAAGGAATGGAATTAGGCTGATGCTGTGGAGTGCCTCTGAGGAGTCACAGTACCTGCCGTAGTATTCATTCCTGGACGCCCAGGCAAAGTTAGTAAATAATACGGCACCAAAGCAACGGCGACAACCTTCTTCGTGCATCGTAGCAATATTGTCCTTGATGAGCAGAGGAATCCCATGCAGCGCACTACGCATGCCTTTTGCTTTTCTTTCATCGTCCAGAGCCGCTGCTTGCTTCAGTGCACTAGGGTTGGTCTCCAATACTGCGCGTAAGCATGGTCCTTGCGTATTTACTTCAGCAATTCGGGCGAAATAAGCCTAGATAGTGACTTTTAATATTTGCGCCTGATCAAATTTTTATCGTTGATTTTGCATAACTACCTTCACAAGGTCAACGCTGGTGAACGCTCCCGCCTCCAACCCTTTTTGTAGTTCCGCAATTGACGCCTCATACAGATCCGGGATATCTTGAACATTGGAAGAGGTCATGGTGGGTACAGATGGGATTCCCAGGGAAAACGTACTGCGCTTCCGAAGTTATATACCTACAGGCTAAAGTTTCACGTGTGCAACTGTTGGGGATACAGCTGGGTGGAATAGCGCACAAGTGGAATGTTCAGAAGCTGCGGCCCGAGTTAGCAGACGGTCAATGTCTGCTGTGTGACTCCTGAAGAATTCCCAGGCTGTTGATGGATGACTCGGAAGTCTTACAAAATGATATCATGTGTGCAGCACTGTCCAGCGAAAAATCAATCGAAATACTGCATTGACTCTTTGACACATATTACTCTCTCTCTCTCTCAACTCGCCAGTAAAGTTTGCTTTAGACATCATCTTCAAAAACCAGGCGTAAGTTTTCCCCCACAATTGAGCTTCTGGTTTTCGTGTTTCAATGATGACTGATCTATTCTAAACTTTTAGATAGAAGCAGTCAAGCTCGACGCCAGAGATACGCCAGCGTGCGGGTGGATGCGCGTCCTCCTGGTGGAGAGGACGCATGAGCCTCAGCATATTTCTTTTGCAAGTGATCGTCCGTTTACAGGAGCCTGCCTCTTCATGGGCTCCCTGAGTTATAATATCTGAATCGACCTCGGGCTACAATGGGTTTGGGCTCGAGAATCTTATATGGGATGATGTAGTTGAGAGATCTGTCTATTTTGAGGCCGACAAACCTGCTGACTTATATCATATCAAAGATATCTGACGACGCTAGGAAGGCGTTGTTTGATACAGCAAGTTTTGGGTCGGATTTATCTTTTGGCCTGATTCTGCTCTCTGCTTTGCTGTTTGTGCGGTTGGCACATTCCTCCCCCTATCATACTCATTTTTGATGGCGTGGATCTGCTTCATTACGAATATCATGTACACACCCTTTCTCTGACAACATTGCCCTCCTTTGTCCCAACCCAAGATCCGTGTACTACCTAGCCATACCGCCTCTCATCTGCATCGGAAAGACCCTCCCCAAGCCAACAATAACCAATGCAGAGATTCTGTGCGTGATATAAAGCTAAGCACAACTCAACCTACCACTAGCGACCCAAAACGGACATGTGATCGGGCGCTTATTTACACTTTGACCGTTTGACGCCGGCCTATATCTACCGCAACACACGGCCAATCTCGGGAACCGGTGTTCAGAAATGGACGTACCATGTAACCCTCACCACACCCTCAAGGTGCCCATACAGAATCGCTATAAGTCATAATATATTAATTCATTCAACTACCAAAACAAAGAGCAAAACACTCTGATTAGAGTGAGATTCGAACTCACGCCCTTTCGGACCAGATAACGAATGGAACCTATTCGTCTGGGGAAGCATCAAATGCTCTGATCCTTAGTCTGGCGCCTTAGACCGCTCGGCCATCTAACCAGTGAAGACCGAGGCGACAGAAAGTGGCGGTGATCGGGGTGGTCTGATATGCAATACCTGTAGAGAGAGAGAGAGTACTTATATACCAGTGTTTAGGTCCCGAAAGAAACATATGAAGCCTACTTCAGTGAACTACGAGTACACTGATAGCAATCCCAAGGTCAAAGCATTCTGGTACCAAAATTAGTAGAAACATCTACACGTACGACAAAATATAGTAACAGCCCACAGATTTGCAAGGCAGTAGCTAATCATCTCAAACGCAAGCATATTAGATCGAATTCTGAACGCGATTTTCCGACAAGACACTGCAAGAAAGCTTGTATATCCGACAAGTACTCGCAAAGGCAAAATTCGCAGCATCAAGCGAGTTCTAATTTACAAAAGAGTTACAAATGCGAGTTGTACCTTCCCCCTAATCCAGAGTTTTTGGTTGGTTTTGGCTCTTAGCTTGCTTGATCGCTTTTTTTAGGTTGGTCGGCTGCAAGAGCGCTGGCAAAGAGAACAAAGCTTGTGCACAATATGTTTTTCAATTCATAATCAGCGACACTAGTATTAAGGTTGCCAAAAGAGCATGTCAGGGGCAGCAGACACCCAGAAATTTCAAAAGACGACGTATGTTTGGGGTCGGAAATAGGAGCAATTGTATAGCAGCAATTGCCTTTGTGGAGCATTTGAAAAGGCGCTTAGCAGCAGCTAAGGTCCCTAGCCTAGAGATGCCCGCTGATTGTTAGGGTCTCGAGACTAGAAGCCTAAAGTCGTTGCCTAGGTGAATATGTTTTGTTCCAGAAAGTCGCCCTGAGAGTGAGAGTCCATATTGGGTTAATACCCTGAGGAACTTTCAAATGACGTTATTCAACTTCAACTTTGCGACACACACACAACATCCGCGTACCGAGCACGTATTCTTTGCAGGAGTGTAGCATTCCTAGCATCCACTGTAAGATGATGACTGAACCCCAAAAGGCATGCTGTCGGCGACAGGACACTAGATATCTGCGATGTCTTGTGCTGTGCCCGGTGAGATTATTGGTCTCCATATACCTATTAGAAAATACATATCATAACTCCAAGGAGACTTGAATGCTTCTTTGAATTCGGGGTATAAAAATAAATACTGCAAACGGCCAACAGTGGCACAATATGAATCCTGAATCGAACTTGAAGGTGAAACCGAAATGAAAACGAGAAGGCTGATGCGTCTTGTTCGAGGGCGAGGAAACCCAAAGGAAACCTAAGCGCGATTGAGCTCTAGAGAACCGCAAAAATCCCTAGCGCTTACCAGTCAAATATTAATAACGATATTCGGAGAAGCTCATAGCCTGGACCTCACCTCCTCCGGCGATGGCACCACAGCCGCTATCACCTTCCTCAACATCACAATCCTATTTCTATACGTCTGACAAATCGTCTCCAGCTTCTTCCTCTCGGTCTGTTTTCTCTCTTCTTGCTCCAGGCTCATCTCCAAAATGATATCGTTGAGCAAGGCGACGCTTTCCTCATATGATTTGAGGGCGCGAATGCTATCGTTTGCTTTGTCGCGCTCCACCGCGGTAAATGCGATCCCGAGGGCGGCTTGAAGGCGTAAGCGGGCGTTGCCTATGTCGGTGGGGGCCATAGTATTGGTGAGCTGAGCCATCTTTCTTGCTAGAGTAGTTGAAGACGCTCCGGATTGAAGTATAGAGCGATCTACCAGGGGTTATTCAAGTTTTGCTGAGTGGGTCGAGCAACTGTAACGAATGATAACCGTTGAATTTATGATGGCGGTAAGAAAGAGAGAAATAAAGACGTGACTGTTTATGTCAAGGTCAAGGGACGGTGGGATTGACTTGAGCTTGCAGTGGAGCAGGGTTTGATCTGGTTTGATGCAATAGAATTCTGTGGCGAATCACGGAACGAGATCTGAATCAGGCGGTATTAATTTAGCGAGACCGAGCAAGAAGTCAGCGACATGAAATGCTCCTAGTGTGGAACGCGTACAAGTCGAGCCTCATTATTGCCTCATAACGCATACTCGGTGGACGGGCTTTCAAGATGGATTATGAATCTGTGAGGAACGTTGGTGAGAACTCCGGTATAACGTCGACAAAGAACCATGGGCATACATAAGGTGTGAATGGAGAGGGGCTTGCTCCTACCCTCCAGCCAGCACAAGCTTTGACACCCACATTATAAACGTGTCATAGTTCAACGAGGACGTACAATTGCATCGGTTTCCAGTCATGGTCCTTTCTGTGTTCCTTTTCTTCCCATGACGGAAGGCGAGAAGCAAGCAGCTTATATGTAGCTGGACCTGATCATCACTTGTCCAACCTGTAAGGCTGAAATGAGTATTTTGGTGACCAACCAAAGTTTGGTTTTATGATCAAAGTAGGCAACGACTTATGTGGAACAAATGGCCTTTCGCACGACCAAATTCCGAAATGTGAGCTGCTGCTTTCATATAGGGCCATAAACGCAATGACATAGATGCATAACGTCGCAACGGTACATGGTGCATACAACGTGTATGCAGGACGGACCCCAGTGGGCCCGCTGGACCCAACCAAGACCCAACTTACAATGCTGATTTCTCTCTCTCGTCGGTCATGCAGATATGCATGGATGACGGGCCACACACGTCCCTACAATCACCTTACAATGTCCCATTGTTCAGCCCTAGCAATGGACTTGCATCACGGTTTTTTGCATTGCTTGGGGATCTTTTTGACCCCATACCAGTTGCCATTATGCTCACTCTGCATTCTCTCTGACAACGTCCATGTAGCAGTTTTATCGTTGGAATCACAGGATCAGGATTTTCACTTTGGACCACGAAAGGCAGTCATTCGTTACATTTCCCTTGTAGATAAAGCCAACTGACCGATTGATGTCAACAGCCCCTCCCGTTGTCTCTCGATTATGAGCTTATTCACGCCGTCGCTTTGGCCATCAGAAAAAACCTTACACACATTTCTGTTTTGGCTAGCATGCACGCAGCGCAACGCCATACTTGACCGCGTCGCGTGTGGCGCTGCATTGAAAGAATCAAGACACAGATTGTTTCATACGGTATTGGCACATTGTCCAGTCTCAGCAGCTATTCAGTACGACGCTTTCTTGTGTTATCCTCCACGAGTATCGCAACACCTACATATTATTTCGCAGAAATGACTTGCAATTTTATATGCTTCACGAGTAGCTGAACTTTTCCCGAAGATACCGCATTATCCCGGGTTTTTTCTTCGCCTGTAGCTCGGATGGGTCTTTGAACCAAGACGCATCACTCCCATCCACATGTCCCGAGTCACTAGGTGTTTTGTTTTTCTGCAGGAGAGAATAAATGACATTGTCAATGTATGTATGAATTTTGCGGGCATACCGAAAGGTATGTCATAAGGGCGGTGTAGGCAGCGCGCCTCTGTCCTGACAGCGCGCTCCCACGATTATCCAAGGCCCAAATGTCCCTTATAATGGTGAGTTGATGGAAGAGAATTTCGGATTCAGATGCCATCGATAGGAGGAAAGGAAGGTTGTCGATCTCATAAGTATAACTCTGGTGACGACTGCATAGTCAATAAAATGAATTGATGGCAAAAGCAACGTAAATATGCTTCGCTCACAGATTTTTGGTGGAAAGGATTTTAGCGAAAGACATGCTGAAACATATCGCGAGCTTTGTATATGACTCGGTGCCAACATGAAGATCCATAGCACGAATTGGATCATTGAGAAAATGCGATATCATCTCTCGGTAATCCTCTGGTAATGGATGGGAAGACGGTGGCAAAAAGCCCTTGACCAACATTTGATGATTCTTCTGTGGGTCAATTCTAAGGGCCGAATCATCGATTGCTTGAAGGGCCAGGCGAAGCTTGTCAGGACCAGACATGGTTGTCATGAGTGCTAAGAAAACGGAGATCTGGAGCCTTTGTCCCCCAGGTATTGCCAGGCATGCAAGGAACTCGGCTCCAAATGGTGCGTTGAGGTAGTGTCGTAGTTGGGATTGCATGTGCAAGTCCCAGGACTGCACGTAACGTCCATGCAGCTGGTATTGTGAGTATTGCAAGTCCTGCCAGACAAATAGTGATCGGGTCAAGAAAACTGTCAATGTCACCTTGGATCGACGCACTTGTTTCTGTAACCAACAAAATAGCGGTGGCAGCTGTAATTTCATCCAGTCCGTTGAGCTTATGAGCACTAGTTTATCATGAGGCAAGTTCAGAAACATTAAAAAGTCAAAGCTAGCAAGTTCTTCCAGGAGGATGACGGTCCCTTTAGCCTGTGGACAGTGATACATAAATAATCTGCACGAGACACTTTGAAGCAATGGCAAGACTAGACAAAATTTGTCAATGCAAGCTCCATGGGCGATTGACTTGGATTCAGATTACGTACATGAAGTGGTCGGAGTGCCTCGTGGTATGTGCTTTAGAACACTTCTGGCAAGATCGGCATGAGCACGACCAGTATCAAGATAAAATTGACCAGAACGTGTTTCATCTTGTAAGAAATCACCCAATGAAGCGTGAAGGATTCGCACTTCGCGAGATGATAGCTGTCCATGGGTTTTTGGTAATGGGATATCAACGAGGGAATGCAAATCTTGCAATATAATATGTGTATCTCCACGCTGCAAGCATAGCAGGTCTTCGATAAGTTCTGGTGTCCTTTCATAATATTCACTGGGCTGTGAAAAAATGAGTAAACTCAATACTCGCAGGGTGGCCTCCAGGTCGTCCACGCAAGAGAATATGAAGGAGTACAGCGCGTCGAGTGCAGCAAATGGAGTATCCTTACTCGGGGGCGTCAGGATCCCAAGTATGACCTTGAGTCGATCGACTGGACGGTGACGGGGAGAATTCACATATTTGATAACAGTGGATGCATAGATAAATTGCCCGGACGCTTTGTCAACAAGCGAGCTAATCTCAGACTGCGTCGGCCAAGTCGGGTCAAGGAAGCTGCTGAGTGGGTGGGATTCCTTGACTTCCTCAAACTTTGCTAGAAGGAAGATCTCT